GTCCCTGATGTCCTGGAGCCGTCCTGATGTAGACTTGACGTCCCTGATGTCCTGGAGCCGTCCTGATGTAGACTTGACGTCCCTGATGTCCTGGAGCCGTCCTGATGTAGACTTGACGCCCCTGATGTCCTGGAGCCGTCCTGATGTAGACTTGACGTCCCTGCTACCTGTAAAAAAGTCCTATTGTTAGTAAAAGAAATAAAACAAATGTAAACAGAAAAGTGTTATTAATAAAATAAAAGTGTTATTAAGGTATAAGAAAGAAAGATAAAAAATTTAAAGAACAAATATCCTACCTTGAAGATAATCGATGGCTGATGTCTTCCCAAGGTCAATGACGAAGATCCACGGTGGAAGGGAAGTCGACTTGAATTTCCTGCTGCTTGTAAAAAAGGCCTAAAAAAAGAAAAAGAATAATTCGTTTTTTCTTTTTATCTTTTGCAGACTGACCGATAAATAAAAGCGTATTGATGTTTTTGATACTACTAAATATCGAGAAATGGATGATGTGGTGTGATATACAGTTCTTCCTGCACTTCTTTTGCACTTCCTTCTTCACTTGAAAACATCATTATTAAGGTAAGAATGTATGTTATAATTAAAATATTGNATAATAAAGAAGACAAAAAATAGAAGTTTTAAAGAATAAATAAGCATACCGTTTGTTTGTTGGTGGACTTTCGTTAAAGATTTCCACGGTGTCTGACCCCCTTGCTGTGCTGCAGAAGTCTTGTAAATAAGCTTGAGAGTTCTTACGACCTGTAAAAAGTACTACAGTTAATAATGTAAATTTAAGGAAAAAACATTAAGTTCCGAAGGAAGATAAACATTAAAGTAAGTTAGTGTTAAAGTAAAAAACAAAGAAAAGCATCGAAAAGATTATTAATCGAATTAAGTTTAGAAAAATGTAAAACAAAACAAAGAAGTAGATAAAGAGAAAAAAGTTTTAATGAATAAGTTGAATAAAACCTACCTTTATTCTATATTAAAATAACAGCCAAAAATCAGTAACTACTAAAAATGAAAAAATACTAATCAGGTAGATAACAAATTAGTTTGATCTATAGGGATTAACATTTAAAATATGTGTAATGTAACACTGTATTTCATAGGAACATCCTGAAAACTTGAGTATGCCAGTTGGCCATTGATTTTAATGGCTGTTTCATTTAACTCCAGATGTTCCAATTCCATTTCATTCATGAAAAAAAATTTCTCCCTTATTAATTCTCCAACACTTTCATTTATCATTAGTATCACACATGCTACTTTTATGTCTATTGATTTATTAGTATTATTAATGTTAATTTGTTTTCTTTTACTTTTTTTACAGTTTGAGGGATGATTGTTTTGCTTATTGCTTACTAACATCAGGACTTTCTTGTATGTCTGAAGAGTTATTCCAGCCAACATAGGAATCTGTCTACATATTCACGATTGTGGAGACAACCTTTGACAAAGCCAACAAAGGAAAAGTAAGGTTTATTTATCATTTTCTCTTTTTATTTACCTTATTAGTACTTCTTTACATATTTTATTTCTTCTGATTTACTTTGACTTTTTCGACAACCTAATTACTCTTTGCTAGTTATCTTTTTTGTGCTTGTCTTTACTTATAAATCTTTTCTTTACTTATTAATATTTTCTTTTTATTTACATTAACTTAATTTCTTTTATTTTTATTAAATCTTTTATTTACTAAGATAAGGACTTTTTTTACAGGTCACAGGTATTCCAACACCTATTTACAACTCAGAACATCCAGGAGAGCCAGAGCTANTAATAAAAATCAGTCAATTATAAATTCGCTTTAAAAAGTATCAAAAAAGAAAAAGGTATAACAACAAAACCAACAACTAAAAAATTGAGAGAAAGACGAAAGGAAATTATTTTATCCATCTGATTGAATGTATATATAAGGTAATAAGAGTGTAAATAATCTTTATAATTATTCCTATTGAATTAATTAAAATTTGAGTGATTTGGCGAATAGTGCGGCCATTGCCTGAGTTTTATCGCCATTAAAACGTCTAAGTTCGAAAATTACTTGCTCCCTCGTGAAACTCAAAGCTACGAGCTCTTTTATGTCGTCCTCTGTGAACTTTTCATTTAAAATTGCCTCGTTTGCAGTTATAAGTGGCTGATTTGCGCTAGAATTAATGCTTATACCTTTCTCGGCCTGCTGAGAACTACTACTACCTGAATTATCTGCAATAAAAAAACTTTGTATACACCGAAATTTTATCATTTTCAAACACGACTTCACAAACAATAACAGCGGATACTACATGCATGCAAAAGGACTACGATCAATAAGACATCTTCCTTCATTTTCAGGATTATTTTCATACTCTTATTGACCCAAGTCCTTTATACGAGTACACATAGAGAAAAGATGTCGATTTTTTTCTTTAAAAATAAAATACTGTCGGTAATTTTGTAAAAACAATTTTGCTGTTATTCCAGAAATTAAGTCGTATACGTTTTAGTACAATTTATTAGTAGTTAATTATAAAATTTAATTGATTTTAGAAAGAGGTTTACATTTTCCAGAAATTTGGAGGTTATACATTACAGAAGATCGTAGATTTACACAATTAGTTTAGTCTTCACTCTTCACAAAAAAGATTTATTCATAAACATCACAGAAGAAACCCAAAAGTTTAATTATAAGAATATATCTATGAGAATTATCCATCGTGACCGTGACTGAAATCATATGACAGCCGCAGCACATATTGAAAAAGTAAATAAGTGGGTGAGGCGAAGACAGCTTTTAATACCTTAAAGTCGTGCAGTAGTTTTTTTTTGAGCAACAAAATGAAGGGATGCATTTTTAATGTTGATAACGGTTATTTGGAGGGTTTGTGCCGAGGTTTTAAATGTGGAATTCTGAAACAATCCGACTATTTAAATTTGGTTCAGTGTGAAACTTTGGAAGGTAACAAAGTCTCTTAGTTAGCGTTAGTGATAAGAACGTTGTTTGTAATATCATAGTTTTGTTACTTAGATTTAAAGCTTCATTTGCAAGGAACAGACTATGGAACGTTCTTGGCAAATGAACCTTCGCCGCTTGCAGTGTCTACGATTGACGATAAACTACGAGAAAAACTTGTGATCGAATTTCAGCATATGAGAAACCACGCTGTAGAACCGTTAAGCACATTTTTAGATTTCATAACGTACAGCTACATGATTGATAACATAATATTGTTAATTACTGGAACACTTCATCAAAGACCTATTTCTGAATTGATTCCTAAATGCCACCCGCTTGGTAGTTTTGAACAAATGGAGGCTATTCATGTAGCAGCAACACCTGCAGAACTGTACAATGCTGTCTTGGTTGATACCCCACTGGCACCTTTCTTTGTTGATTGTATAAGTGAACAGGATTTGGATGAGATGAATATAGAGATAATTCGTAATACACTTTACAAGTCTTACTTGGAAGCTTTCTACAATTTTTGTAAAGAAATTGGGGGTACAACTGCTGATGTTATGTGTGAAATATTGGCAGTAAGTTGAGAACTTAATTTGTTAATATTTCATACGTAAATGTTTATGTCTTTCTCTAAGTTTGAGGCTGATCGTCGTGCCATAATTATTACTATTAACTCATTTGGAACTGAGTTAAGCAAAGATGACAGGGCTAAATTATATCCCCGATGTGGTAGACTGAACCCAGATGGCTTAGCTTCACTTGCACGAGCTGAAGATTACGAGCAAGTCAAAGCAGTTGCCGAATATTACGCTGAATATAACAAGCTATTTGAAGGGGCGGGAAACAATCCCGGAGATAAGACCCTTGAAGACAAGTTCTTTGAATACGAGGTCTTTTTTTAATATCTCGGTGCTTTTAATGTTACTATAAATTAATTTCTGTTTCAGGTGAAACTTAATGTGCATGCTTTCTTACAACAGTTCCACTTTGGAGTATTTTATTCTTACTTAAAACTTAAGGAACAGGAAACACGTAACATTGTCTGGATTGCTGAATGTGTGGCTCAGAAACACCGAGCAAAAATTGATAATTATATCCCTATTTTTTAAAATCAGTATTGCAATTAATTTTGTTTTCAACATTCTACCAGTAGTCAAAATTTCAAC